TTTATTATTGTATTACTTATAATTTAAAATTTATTTCTTAATTGGTATATCATTTATAATATAGAATTTATTTGTTCAATCATTAAATTATTTTTAATTAAGAATATATTTATTTAATCATTATATTATTTAAAATATAGAATTTATATATCGAATTATTATATTATTAGTAATTTAGAATATAGTTACTTAATTATTATAATATTTACGACTTAGAAAATATTTACTTAAATTGTTATCTTATTTATAATTTAGAATCTATATACTTCATTATTATATTATTTCCGTCATTTCGTAGATATATATAGATACAGTCACAATAGTAACAAAATTTCTAGTAGCTGAGTTGGTCAAAGTGTCTCTTTGCAACCCAAAGGTTATGGGTTTGATTCCTGCCATTGTTTTTAATTCAACATATTAGTTGTAAGGGTAAAATAGTAAAATCAATGATCAAGTAAGGGTATAATGGTAAACTTAGTAAAAAAGTAACGTGTATTAAAATAACGCCGTTAACATTAAATGGCGAGTGTGCATGAAAACATTAAATACGAGGGGGTTTGACGCAAATTTTAAAATATAATGGCGAGTGTGCATGAAAACATTAAATACGAGGGGGTTTGACGCAAATTTTAAAATATAAGAGGAAAACGCGCAGATTTCGTATAATACAGAGGGATTTGGTGCAATAAACCCTATTTTCCTGTCTATTACCCGTAGCTTTTGATTGTGTTAAACAGAGGGGATTAACTTCTGAGTTTTGGTGGCGAACTGGCCAAGGAACTAGTTATAAAGTCAACTTTATCTTCTTTTCCCCTTATTTTTCTGGTTAAGAAAATCTACAAATAGTGCAGCAAATCACAAAAGAAGAATAAAATCAGACATGAAACGTGGTGTCAAGAATATTGATTTTGATTTTTAATTATTTATTACTTTAGTTAGCTTGATTTAACTAAGTTAAACCTCAGCTTGAAATTATATATTTTTACAGATAATGAAACAAAAATACCCTTTGAAATTTGAATGTCGAATGTTGACCTCTAATTAGTTTAAAACCCGTGAAAAAATAAATTCTCTATCATAGTACTTGATTTATTTCCAAGAAAAATCTTCATGGTTCATTGAATCTATATGTATAAAATTTCTAGAAATAGAACCACAAAAGTAGTTGTGAGCTTTGAATTTCATAAATAAATGTGACTTGCCACCAGTAAGCATACAACTGGCCATCACAGGCCAGAATTTATGAACAATACTGAGATTCATCAGTTAATAAGTAATGGGATAATTTGCAACGTTTAACAGCTAAATATAAACAGTGAAGTGCATAAAAGGAATTTAAAAAGAAAACAATATCAGCTCAAATTTAAAAGTTGAAATCAAATTTTCATCTAATGTGTAGACTATGGTTTAGTGTATAGTTAGAAATAGTATAATGCAGTGTTTGCATAATCTAAAAGAAAAAAAGAAAAAAAAAATTGACCTCAAACTCACAGGTAGAGCTATTATTCCAACGGAGCTGTGAGTTGTTCGCAAACACAGTTAGATTCGGCTTGTCCCAAGCTCGAACAACTAATCGAGCTCATTTATTAAATTAGTAAAGTGTACGTGCGATGCACGTAATTGTGAATATTTTTAGCAGATTAAGTTTAGTAAAATAAAAAATTAATTTATTAAATATTTCATTGGAGAAACGAACTAAAATGTAGAACAAATGAACTCTTAATGTATTTATTTTTTTTCAAAAATAGTACAACGATGTCCTAATATAAGAAGAATGAAATAATATATTACAACTCCAACAAAGATATATGAAAAATGAGTCTCTGATGAAAAAATACTAATTAACTAAATAAAGAACTAATGTATATTATAGATGCATTAATTTTTTTTATTTATTTATTCGTGTTAGATGATTGAAGAGTGATATTCGTTCATTTTGGTTTTAACGTTCTCATAAAAAACAGTCATACCCTTAGAGCTCAATACATCAATAGTATTGCAAAATTCTTCTTAATTCATTTGACAAAACGTATACTTTATTCAAATACTTAGAAATATTCTGACCATACATATAGTCAAGCTTCATGATTGTATGATCTGTATAAGGTATTTCTACTAACACTTCATGAGTATCTCTGTGAAATAACCAACCATATTATTAAAATTGGTAGTATATTTTTTATCATTGAATAACCTAGTACATAACTCTCTCTCTCTCTCTCTAAATAGATAAATTGGTACTTACCCCATGGAGGCATTGCCTCATGGGGTGAGACCGAATTTCATCTCCAAAGAAAAGTTGACTTTCCAAAATCTAAGTTACATGTACTTCTCTGATGCGCTAAATTATTTTTTGAAATCACCACGCATTACATGAAAGTACGTACTCTAAAGTAATTGCAAATATGTTGGAGCACAATCCACTAATGAGATTGTAAATATTATTATAAAAAAGTAACAACGTCATTCAAACATTCAAAAATGTTTTGATCAGGTTCCAACATTCAAATATGTTGGACTAGTAATGGGTTGATTTGGGGGAGATATGGAAGAAAGTAGTTTGAGAGATGTGGAAGAACGCAAATTCGTGAGGAATAATTGAGCAAGAATATTGTGGTTGATTTTTAGAAGATGCATAATGTTTTATTTGTGTATTTATATTTAATTAATTTGATATTATTTATTAATTAAAAAAAATAATATAAGATGTGTGTTAGTGTATTCCTAATTTGCTATTAAAAGATATGCCAAAATAAGAGTTTTTTAGGTTGTTCATTTTTTACGGTGTATTTACATTTAATTAATTAAATCTTAGTTATTAATTAAAAATATAACAAAGTAAGTATATTAGGTAGTTCATTTTCTTACAAAACCCCTTGTCCTTTTAGAGTAGTTTTTTTGGGAGATATGGAAGAAAGTAGTTTGGGAGGTATGTGAAAGAAAGCAATTTAGTGAGTAATAATTGTGTAAGAATATTGTGGTTGAGTTTTAGGAGATGCGAAATATTTTGTCTGTGTATTTGTATTAAATTAATTAATTATTAGTTATTAATTGAAAATATAAGTTAAGATGAGTATTAGTGTATTACTAATTTGCCATTAAAAATATATCAAAGTAAGAGTAGTGATTGATTTTTAGAAGATGCATAATGTTTTGTTTGTATATTTGTATTAAACTAATTAATTATTAGTTATTAATTTAAAATATGAGATATGATAAGTATTAGTGTATAATTAATTTGGTATTAAAAATATGTCGAAGTAAGGTTTATAGGTAACTCATTTTTTACAGTGTTATTTGTATTTAATTAATAAAAATGTAAAATAAGATGAGTATTAGTGTATTACTAATTTGCCATTAATATATATAAAAGTAAGGCTTGTTAGGTAGTTCAATTTTTTACAAAAACACTCGTCTTTTTAGAGTAGATATATAGATAAACGGACCCGAACTCATTCTCGAACAACTCGTTTTTTTTTTAGGTTTTGAACAAACAACCGAGCCGTGCATGTTCACATTTGCACAAGTTGAGTTCACGAATAGCTTGTTTACGACTGTAGGTTTGTTAAACGAATCGAGTTGAACCGAGCTTTCACGATCATGAGCTCGAACATGCGGTGCTTTGCTCGACTCGACTCTGACTCGACTCGAATAAAGCACCTACTCTAGGTCCAGCCATAAGATATCAAGTAAATTGGAATTAAATGAGAAAAGGCTGACTTCTATCTACTAATTCAACAGGGAGGGAAGCTAACCAACTGACAAAGTTGCATAAGTACACATGTATAAATTACTGAAATTTTGCCAGCCGTTTGAATTTCCCAGCTCGTCCCAAGAAAATCACTCAGATAATCCCATCCGACAACAAGAGACAAAGCTAAAAGAGATATAGCAACAAAAACCTGGAGTCATATTCTTATTGCTTTCACCGAATAGTGAGATCTCTATGGTAGCAAGTGGGATTACAGGGGAAAGGGCAATCGACTAGCTCGGCTGCTCCTCGATTGAAGTACCAATAGCCGACTGTTTCTGCAACTGTCTGTTTAACAAGAAACAACAATGGGGCAATAATAATATCAAGATTTAGATCAGTAGTAGCACAATTAAGGATTTAGCTGTCAAAATGGCAATGCTATATAAAAATGAAACATTTTCAGGTCATTGTTTACACATCTTGCTTCTGATGTTGAACTGAATAAATAATAATAATAATAATAATAATTTTGTCACAACTGCATGCAAACAATTTTGTTATTGCAACTAACTCTGTTGTTGATTCTGGGAGAAGTGGGAGAATGCCACGTCTCGGCTGCCCACGTCTGGCAATGGGCGAAACAGGAATTGATAAACACACCCACTTTTAGTGTTTGCCGGATTTCATTGATTGTCTTGAGCAATGATTTTCTGTAACCTGCGAATGCATGATAAACTTATAATTACATGAAATTCTTTTTAATCTCAAAAACAACTTGAGCTGCTCAAAACGGGGTTATTAATTCTTGCAGATGTGTCTCTACCCAATCTTTTNTAACATCTGGGAATGTGAAAATTCAGCGCGTGCAATGGATATGGGCGATAATATATATCTGATATTTATAAATACCGTGGAGCACTTCTAGCTGTTTGGGATCACAATTAAAAATATTCAGTTTGCACCTGAGCCAGCTGCCATTGGGATCTGATGAATCAGGCACCAAAATATTTGCTATCTAAAAAAAATCACAAATTTTATGGTATGTACATAAAAATTACAGTTGAAAATGTTCAATGTTTGGGTGCTTAATCAGAAAAAGTTACCTGCCAAAAATCATATGCTGGTTGAACTAGGAAGAGAGGAGTCTTTATATTTCTTATAAATTCTTGAGGGAAGAAACACTGAGGACCAGATTCCGTAATAAGGCAAAAAGAAAAAAAAATCAGTAACGGAGAAATAATCCATATAATATTGACAAGGACATCAAGGTTCTGGCCAGAAAAAATTGAAGTTTCCAAACAAGTTATACTAAAGAATATGTACCTTCGAAGGTTCGGATCTGGCAACACAATCATGATTCAAACTTTTAGCAACACTCTGTAAGCAAGTCAATTTAAAATAGATTGTTAAAGACAACTTTAAATGTGAATAGCCAAATGCAAGGCAAGGGCGATGAAGCTTTAGGATAACCTGGAGATGTACAACATCATGATAGAAGGATTCTATGGTACGATTTCCAGCAATATCTTGCCTGTCCATGAAAACACATACAACTCAGTTTCAGAGGACAAATCGAACAATGAAGCTCAATAAAGGGCCTCAGCGCAGTTTAATCTAAAAGATTATTTCCATGAGAACCATTGTCCTTGATTACAAACAACTTTTTTACATGAAGATAATAAGAACCAAATACAACCCTATACAGCCGTCACAGGTGGAAGTTTATTCCCATTCGCTTTTGTATATTCATTATAATTACAAAAGGCAACCATATGAGGAAAATATAAAAAACCAACCAAAACCTTAGAATATGTGGAAAATCAGGGGGAATATGATCATGAAGGTGAATACCTTCAACATAGTTTGAAAAATATGACTTTTTTAGAGGCCGAGGTAAGTTGAAAATGAACACGACAATACAAGGAAATACTAAAAAAGAGAGTGTCAGAAAACCCGAGAAAGTAAAGCACATACTCATTAATAAAAAAACCTGCATCAGCAAGACACTTGACATTTGCATCTTTTGGCAGAAGATCCCGAAAACTATCACAGTGTATGAGAGTGGCCAAACCACCAGCAGAGCATCCTGTAAGAAGGGCCTGTGAAATTATGAAATTCACTTCTAAGAACCTAGCATTTCCATCTGAGAGTGAGTTTACCTAACAGAAGCATTCATCCATACTATCTCTATGGCATCAGGGTAAGATAGACTTCACCAGTCTTGGGTCGTCAAGTCAACAATAATGACACCATGCAGGAAACGAAAGAGAAAAAAGACCCATGACCTTCTTGGTAATGTTTATCAAAGATATCATCACAGTACGAGTTAGTGGGCACTTGGAAATTGATTTTATATGAGACACAAATTCAGTTCACTCAAAGAAGTATGCCGAAAGCATATTTGCACCATTAAATATTAATGCACTCACGACAGTTATTTTTTCATCCTCAAACACATGGCATAAACTCATGAAATAGATACTTAACCACAAAAATGGATGGAAACATGGAGAGAAAAGTTAGTTTATCTACCTCATGAGCTTTAGACATTCCAATGGACAAGAGCTCTTCCATAAGTGTGTCCCAGATAAGCTGTCCTCTGAAGAAAATCTTTGTTCCATTCTGGGGGATGGGTGAATGAAACATATTGGAAGTACTGTCATCACATTATTTCATAGTCTTGCACAAAGATTTAAACTTCTTCAGGATGACTTACTTTATACTCAGAGTCTGGGTGACTAGAAAATGAGGATCCATCACAATAACGTATTTTCACCTTGTTCCAATTGAAAAAATCTGTAGATGGAAAAATCACAACTTAACAGAAGAATTGAAAAATCAAGTTTGGAGTTCCTTGAGGAGATAGTAATCCAATACACAGCCATATGTTTCCAACCAAACGACATATTTGCAGAGTGACCAATAAAAAAAGGGAAATCAAAGTGCAATTACTACTTGATTTGCGAGTCAAAGTACCTGTAGATCAATCTACAAACAGAAGGACTCTTCCAAGTAACAAATAAACTTGTAAGAATCAATGTTAAAACAAAAAGGAAAATCATACAGAAAATAAACCAACTGTAAACTGTGTGATTTACAAATCGATGAAGTATACATAACATGAAGTTGCATCTAAAATAGCAACACGTAATACAAAGAAATACAAATACGAATGCTATACACAAAAGTAATATTAAGGTAAAAGAACAAAATTAGGACGTGGCCAACAATGAATAACAAACCAGGATTCTGAAGAGGGTCATGGCTCAAAATTCCTAAAAACTGGACTTGATATTCCATGTAGGTTGACGAACCCAATTTCGTTCTCTCCCGAGCATAACAAGACGATAATGTACTGCACCAGCCTCCGCCCTGTATTGGGGATCCAGTTTATATAAGAAATTAATCCATCACCGTAACAAATTCCTCCACCAAGTTATTCCACACAAACATCAGCAAGATGAGTTCCTATTGACCAGGGCCATTATTGCACAGTAATAGTATCGTCTAATCATGTTAGTTACATGCCTACAGCATATAATCTTACAGACATGCTTACAAAAATTGACATGCGGCTTCTTCTTTGTAAGCTCTACTCAGACAGATGTTCGACTTTCCAATAATTACATGAGAAAATACGAGATTTCTATACTCGGAAAACAATTTACATGCTTCTGCCAGAGTACACTACTCTTTCTGCACGTACACTGTCATGAAAATATTGCCATTGACCAAGCAAGTCGACGAAAATTTTGAGTCCAACGATGGCCAGATTGTTAACTAGCTCCAACAACAGGTTTTAATCAAATTTAATACAGCAATTCCAAAGTTCTTTCTGCAGATCAATTAATCTTTAACACAGTACAATAAGATTCTCACTTAGTTTACATCAAACCAGAAATAATCACTACAATAATCCAATATTCTCAAACAGATAGCTGTATGTTAACCAGTGAAGGGGAAACCTCAACGTGAAGAAGCCAGTTATCAGAGCCAGATCCAAATCCCCTCCTCACATGATAGCCAGGCACACTCCCATCCAAACAAACTGCAAATACCAAATCACCACGAATATTACAACAGCAAAACCGCAATTTCAAATTTCTAATTCATATATATATATATATATATATATATATATATATAAACAGCAAACGAGAGCAAGAGAATATTACACGCGGAATTTTCTTTCGCCTTGGATAAAGGCGTGAACGGTATCCACTCGGAGTCAACGACGGAATTCGCATCAGCGTTCGCATTCGGGGCAGCTTTACGCGAGACCGAGATTGGTGAGAAAATGAGAAGGAAAAGGGATATTCCGGCGGCGGCAGCGGCGGCAATTGTCCTCTTCCGGTTTGATAATTTGCGCCGCCACGGCCATGAAATGGTTCCGCCGGCGGCCAACCGAGCTGGTCTGTACTGGTTAGCTGACATTTTGTGCGTGTGGCAGATAGACACTGATCAATGGCGATCTGTAACTGAATCTCAATAGGAGGACGAAAAATAGCTGGTGGTAATTGTACCTTGAGGTACCACTCCTATAAGCTATTATGTTAGATTCATTTTTTATATGGTTATTTTTTTTTTAACCACTTTTGGAGTTTTAAACAGTTTTTCGAGCCACTTTGTGTAGTGTGTACTCACTCTGCACCGCGGGAAATATTTAATTATTCATTTGATTTTATTTCTAGTGCTTGGCCCGTGCGATGCACGAGAAAATAATATTTAGATTGTATTATAAATTGAATAAATAAATAACATTAATTATGATTTGCTCATTATTTTTAAATTAAATCGGTTTGGACACAGTCTGACCGGATGGACCGGGAACCGGTTTATAACCAGTCTAGTGCGCTTGAATAAAATATTTGCTATCGAATCTTTCAACATCAGTCTGTTGGACTGGTAGGATCAAAACGATTTTCTAAATAAATTTTGTTACATTAAAAATAATTTTAAATAAAATTACATATTTAAATAAAATAGAGATTTATAAATTGTTTATCAATTAATTTAAATATTTGAATTTATAAATTGCTTATATATTTAAGTAACACTTTTTATTTAAATTAATTACAAAAAGTACTAAATATATATATATATATATATATAAGTATTATGTATTAAAATTTGAACAACCACAAATGATTTAATAAAACAACTTGATCGTTTCGATGACGGTCCGGTTCTGAAAACCTTATATTTACCGTACATTAATACAAAAATATAATAAAATAATTATTTTGTTCTCATAAATAATAATAAAATGATATATAAATATTCATGAATCATTAATCATGTTGTCATAAAAGTATTGTTAATATGATTATTTAAAGTTCGAACTACATCACATTCACGTAATAAAATATTTTCAATATTAAAATTTATATTTAGGTTCAATAATCGATTTGGTCTGGTCAAACTGATACATAAATTAGTTACCTGGGACCAACCAAGTTGTTTCAAAGTTTTTTTGACTATTTTAAATATCACCTAAAAGTAATTCAATCAACGTGGGCAGTACCCTAATTCAATCACCCGATTGATCCAAAGTAATTTCCTTATTTTCTTTAAATATAATATTTAATTTTATGAAATAAAAAAATTTTATGATTCATATGTCTACACCAAATGATAGTATATTAAGACTGTAAATTATATATCTAAAGATGAATTATTTATTTTTATTTTATGCATATTAATAAAAAAAAACATAGTAATTTAAAAAAAAAAATCAGATTAATTGATTGGGTATGAAATTTAAAGAATATTTTTAGCGTTCAATATATATATAAATAATTATATATATATCTATATATATATATATATATATAAAAGTCAAAAAGAAAAGATGCCATAAAGATTACAAAAGTTTGTAAACATTTATTTAGGAACCATTCGATTTTAAATGATTTTATAATTTTTGAAGCAGGATACGTGCATCTAAAACTCATTAATTTAGGAACCATCCAATTTTTTGATAATGAATTAAAATTAAAATGTAAAATAAAGAAATTACTGAAAATAGTATATAATGAATGTGGTTTGACTTTTCTTACTACTATTTATGGTAAATGTTAATTTTTATTATATATATATATAGATTTGTTTACTCCAATATCATGACTATCAACTAGTACGTAACCCGTGCGATGCACGGACTGTATGCTTTTTTCGGAAACATAATGTAGTATCGGTGCGCAGTACGGTGGGATTATTTCCTCAAACCTTTTTGTCTAAATTTTATTTAATATTTTTGTTTATAAATTAATAATTTGATTGTAATAGAAAAAAATAGAGAGAAATACAAAGTACAAAAAAAAAATCATATATTATTAAACACTTCTCTATACACAACATTATTGGTTTGATTTGCTTTCAAACCTTCTTCTCCACAAATTAAAATTTTCAGACCCTTTCTATTAGTAACACAGGAGACAGCGACATATAACTGGCCATGATTAAAAACTGGTTTCTTCAAGAATAAGCCAACATGAGATAAGGATTGACCTTGACTCTTGTTTATAGTCATTGCATATGAAACCATAATGGGGAACTGCCTTCTTAGGAATTTGAATGGTACTCTAACATCCGAAGGATTTATGGTCATTCGAGGTATCAAAACTTTATCACCTGCATGATCGCCAGTAAGAATTTTACACTCGAGAACATGATTGGAGCGTTTGGTCACAACCAATCGTGTACCATTGCAGAGTCCCATTGAGTGATCCATGTTCCGCAACAACATAACTGGAGTTCCGACCTTTAAATTCAACTCATGATTCGGTGTTCCAGAACACTTGATAGTATTCAAAAACTCAGGAGTATGGAGTTGTGCCAGAAAGTCGGTATTGGAGTCAGATTTACACGTACTGTCTGAGCTTAAATACGTGCGTCCTTCAGTCAAATTCAACGACGACATGTATGCATTTATAGATTCTACGATCTCGAGTGTTGGCGCGAGTATAGCCCTATCTTTCAAGTAACTTGGATCATCTGTTGCATTCTTGGACATAGGATACGTGCTTTCAACAATTTTTGCAATTGGATCATCGGATGGTTCTAGTAATAGATCATCTGGTATGTCTATCGGAGCACATCCATCATTTGTACCCCCCAGTGTGCCATCTCCGATGCTCGCTATCCAATCAGCAAAAGCAGCTAGCTCGTCACGTTCATTCGAATCGCCAAAGCTCTGAAGACGCATGTTCTTTGTAAGTCTAAGCACAGTACAATCTCCCCAAATGGTAGAAGAATTAATAGCAGCATTAACAATCTCCTGACAATTCCCCTTTGGAACTACCGGAAGGATTTGTCGAAAGTCTCCACCAAACACAACAGTCTTGCCTCCGAACGGTTTATGATGATTTGTCGGGTCGATTGCTCCCATTATTGCCTTAAAAGAAGCTTGAACAGCTTCAAAACAATGCTTGTGCATCATAGGGGCCTCATCCCATATGATCAGTGAAGAGCGAATAATCATCTCTGCAAGGGGGCTAGCCTGATTGATATCACACGATGAATTTTAATGCACAGAAAGAGGAATGCCAAATCGAGAATGTGCAGTGCGACCGTCCGACAACAGGAGAGATGCTATTCCACTTGATGCAACACAAAGAACAATTCGACCGCGCGATCTTAGCCCAGCAACTAAAGTCCTCCACAAGTATGTCTTGCCAGTTCCACCATAACCATAAACAAAAAACACGCCGCCCCTACCGGAATCAACAGATGTCATTATTCTGGAATAAACACCCTTTTGTTCATCGGTCATATGTGTCAACAATTCATCATGCTCATTAGCTAGAGTCTTACAGTCATAGTTAAGTTCATCCATAACCAGACGGTTCACACTTGAATTCATACTACTCATATCTGGAAAAGGCATAGTAGAATAGTTCCGAAGGCTTGTGCCACAATGTCTCAATCTCTGCAAGAGCTAAATTTTTTATATCTACATCACTCAGCTTCAAATCTGAAATAATGATAGATGACCTATTAGATTTCGTTTTTTTACGTGGAATACAAAAAGTTTAATAATTAAGAAAAACGATGTTATTATAATACTTGATAAATGCATAATATAAAACGCCCTAAATCTCATACCATCATTATCAAAAAGACGACGTTGCTTGTATAGTATGTCGTCAGATAGAAATTGCCAACACCATTCCCAAACTTCATCGGGTTTGCCTAAGGATCCAGAAACCAATAAAGACGCGAACATGCGCCTAAGAGAATCAGCAGATGCCCACTGACTTGCTTCGGTAATTCCATTAATGTACTCTCGATCATCATCCAACAAACCTCGTGCATAGCAAGCATCGCGATAGGACGTGTATTGAACATCGCCTACCTTCATATAATCCTCGTGGCAAGTAGCTCCACGAACAACATTGACCAAACACCTCAAATAATAATTATCACCAGCATTGGGAGGAACATAGCTCAAACGACCTATACAACCTGGCCTTATTCGAGGAGTCCAGACTCTTTCTTGCTTGTTCCAAACAAATTTTGACGGCGCCTCAACATACGTAAGTTTTCTCGCCTCGGGATACATCTTGTTCGCTTCCATCCATGCCAAAAATTGGCTGTCATTGACGGTGGGATTATTAAGAACTTCATCGATAGGATCATCATCATCAAAAACAATATTATGTTCACCTTTCAAACGGAAACTCAAACGTTGCACAGAAGGTTTTTTGTACTGCAGTTCATAACCCAATAGCCTCCACGCCGCCTCGCAAGAAGACACATACCGACAGTCATAGAACATGTTGATCTCATCAACAGGTTTTTCTATTTCTCTATAGGCAGTCGCTTGATAGAATGATGCGGTGACACGATCATGACCTTTATTGACGTACTTGAAAAGGTACTTTATGGATCGCGATTGATTACACCACTCGACATTAATATGCTCTCCATAATTCATCAACAATTTGCGATTGTGAGGCACGACATAACCATTATGGACAACGACACCATTTTTTTCAATATGTCTTCCATTGTCTCGACGTCTGTATCATGGATAACCTTCATAGTCGACAGTGATTAAATCGACAAACTTTTTAGGAAACCGTTTACTACATTTGCCATCCACCATGCACGGAGACGATTTTCTAGCCAAACCACAAGGTCTGTGGATCATGTGCTCTTTTACTGCCTCATAATATAACGGATCTGACGTCTCATCAGGTATCTCCGCAGATATTACTCTGTCAATGTCTGACGGATTTGGGAATTTATTTTCTTTGGCGAGAAATATTAGTATATGAGTATGCGGCAATTCACGCTTCTGAAATTCAATGGTGTAGACAACTACAAAACACAAAAGAAGATAAAACAATTAGAATATTTTTTAAAATGGTGTTAGACACCGCGATGAACATATATACAACAATTCTTTTTCTTAAAATAATACCTGCTATGACTTTGCCGAAAATTTGCTTTTTACGAAAATCCCTGATTAATTCCTTCAATTTTGATTTGAAAACCCTACATATAATATCCGGGCGATCCTCAGGTCGCAGTCTCTTTGGTTCCAAAAAATGAATAATCTCAGACCATTTTGGATTGCATGTGAATGTTATAAGCAAATCGGGATAACCTGCCCATCCACAAATTTCCATTGCATCCTGATAGTTTTGAATCATGTTTCGAGGTCCCCCAATGAATGAACAAGGAAGTATAATTCTTTTTCCTCTAGAGCTTGGATTGACATCGCCCTGGAGATCAGCATCCGCCAATCTATTGTACATATCACATCGGAGTCGACTCTGATTGAATTGTATATACCACAACCTCGATGATTCAACCATGGTATATGCATCAACGACAAACTGCTAAAACAATCTTCTCGCTGAAAGAATAGTATATGGTTCGTGTTTCCGATCATGGATCCGGTACGCAAAGCATCCACGGACACTCACTGTTTTTCGACCACGCTCTTTTTCAACTTTTTGATTTGAAAATGGAATGTCTTCTCTATAGCCATCCTCACCGTAGGGCAAAAGAAGGGAATATTGTAAAGCCAGATATGAAGCATTAAGCTCATTTATTCGTTGTAGTCGTCCACTCTTGGTTTCAACCAATATATCTCGCTCACCCATAGCCTGATCAAAATCTCCAACGACCAATATAGCAACTTCAGAACTCGTAGGCAAGTTATAACGTCTGACATCATTAAATCTCCTTCCAATTAAACGAATCCTAACAATAGATTCGCCATGTCTTGAATTCTTTCTCTAGCCAAATGAAATGATTTCACAAGTTCGATGTGCTCATCCAACATGGTCGTCAATCCAGAAATAATTTCTCCATTCAAATCAGTAGCACCGTCAACATTTCTGAAAAATGAAAGAATGTTTTTAAGGCAATCAAATAAAATATTATAAAAGAAAAATAATAAAAAAAACTCGATTAAGGATATTATTTAAATACTGACCTCACGGCATTCATTCTGTTGGTTACTTCATTATCAGTGTCATATATATAGAGCTGTGCAAATTTTGGAGTTGAACCTTCAGAAGGAAGTAAACTACCCATGAGATGGTAGTTTTGCCCGTGCAAACTGAAAATGGGTGGTCCCGATCCTTTGTTGATGTCGGTATTGATCTTGCCTCCCAGAGAAGTAAAGCCGAACATGTTGTTGTAGGATCTAATGTTTTCTTGAAAGTGTTTGCTAACGCGGCTATCTCCATGTAGCAATTCACTCAAAAATTGTGGCGGATTATGTAGAACAGGGAGTTCAATGATACCATTCACACAACAACCAGAGTACATGGTAAGAGCAGACGCTCTCTCAGAAGACTTTCTCTCGGCATACCAAAACATTGCTCCACAGTACACGCATTCGACGTTGGCATCACCCATGTCCCAGTACTCTGCGATTGTTTTGATGAAAAATATTATAATATTATATAATAAAATCAATTTAAAAAATTTGTCATAAAATAAAAATTTAAAATTATAACCAACCGGATCGTGTAGAAGTGCTCGCCAATATTTTTTTAGGTCGACCGGGTTTTTTCTTTTGATTTGTTGGTGGCACTTGATCAAGCAAATCAACACCTACAATAATATAAACATAATCAATTCAAAACTGAACACTAAATATAATTATATAATTCACAAATAAAATAATAATATTCATAAACATACCATTTTGTGTGGACATGCTTCCAATTACTTTTTTTTGGTCGTCCACGTTTTCTTTTAAGAGACGTAAGTGGTACTTGATCGTCAGCCGTGTGATCTAATATCTCACTCGATATAGTTGGGTATGACGTTGGATTGACAATTATTTTTTCATGGTCTAAAAAACGTAAATAATTGAAAAAAATTATGTTAAAAAAAAATTATACATAAATATACTGCAATAAGTGATAAATCAATTATTTAAATAACAACATACCGGTTTGTGTGGACGTACTTCCTAGAACCTTTTTAGGTCGACCACGTTTTCTTTTAAGTTCAGTCAGTGGTAGTTGACAGTCAACAGTGTGATCCAATAACTCACTCGATATATTCGTGTATGGAGTTGGAGTGACGGTTATTTTTTCAAGTTCTAGAAAACGTAAACAATTAAAATATATTTACTTAAAAAATTTATACTGAAATATCCTGCAATAAGTGATAAATTAAGCTGTTAAATCACAACATACCAATTGATGTGGATGTATTTCCTAAAATCCTTTTAGGTCGACCACGTTTTCTTTTTAGAGTCGTAACTGGTACTTGATCGTCCGCACGATGATCGAATATCTCACTTGACATAGTAGTGTTTGGAGTGGCGGTTGTTTTTTCAATATCTGGAAAATGTAGATAAGTACAATATAAATAATTAAAAAAAAAAAATCATACTGAAATATAATGCAGTAAGTGATAAATCCAATATTTAAATAAGAACATACCAGTTTTTGCGGACGTATGTTCTAAAATATTTTTAGGTCGACCATGGTTTCTTTTAAGAGTTGTAAGTGATACTTCATTGATAGATGCTACATGAGAATCCTCATTGAGATAAATAACCCCTGCATGCGAAAAAATATCTACAATAATCGAAACATAATACTCATTGAAATGTACTAATTCATAAAATAATATTCCATATAGTTTTTTAATTGTTTTTTACCTTTTGGTTGCTTGAATATATTATTAGAATTAGAATTAGAATTTGAAGAAAGAAGCAAGCCGTCATCACTATCATCACTGGTAAGATCAATGAACTGTGACGGTCCAACATTTTCTGCAAACAATTATAATCATAAATACACACATCACACTTGTGTTATAAAAAAATACAGAAAAAAATTAAACATATATAATGTAATTTGATAAAAATATAAGTGTCTAACCAGATGCAATAACTTTGGATGTTGAATTTAATGGAGAAAATATCGGAGTTGTTTCGAATACTACATAAGAAAAATATTTTAATTATATATATTATTTATATGCATGTAAATAAATAAATAAATATAAGAAAAAATATAATTTTAAAAAAAATTTACCATTGGTGATGTTTGATAATGGTAGACTTTGAGAAGTATGCAACACACTTCGCCATTGATATGAAACCTTGCCGGAATTATTGTTATTTTCAATCGGAATAAAAGAAGATCCAGTAACAGGAGAAGGTATAGTATATCCTGTAGAAATAGAATGGAATATTAAGGATACAAAAAAAATCAGTAAATGAAAAAAAATCATATAATATTAAAAAAAAATTAAATATATAAATGTATAAAACAAAATACAAATTAATTAAAGGTGACAAAAAATAATTATGAGCAATTGTGTTTTACTTATATAAAAATAACAATAATTTAATATAATTTCTTATATTGGATTAAGAACAATATATCAACAATTAGGCTTAAAAAACTATTAATGTAATTTCTTATAAAAAATAAATGAGATCAATTGGCCAATTATATTAATTTAAAACCATTGAACACAAATTTAGCCAAATTAAAAGTCATACTTGCGGCCCAAGATTTAAAATTAAAATAGTCCAAATATGTTAGTAACAATAAGTAGCCCAATGATCAACATAACCCATACCAAACTCTTCACAAAAATCATGTAAAAATTGAATTTTATAATATATATTTTTGTGAAACATAAAAAAAGTTATAATAATTAATAGATCATTATAATACATAAAATTAATTTGGCCCAAAATTGTATTTATTCAATCAACCATTATTTTTGTGCTTAATACTAAAATAAATTGTCTTACATGTGGGCCAAGTATTTTTGATTAATTAAGCCTAAATTCTAATTCACAATTCTCTGGCCCAAATCAGTTTTAATTTTCTTAAGCCCAGATGTTGGGCCCAACTCAAATAATTGTAATGAAAATACTGGTTCAAATCAGACGGCTATAATCTTCCCATCAAAATCGGATGGCTGAGATTAACGGATAAATGGTATAAAATGAACCAAACCCGATAAGGGTTTCATTTCTTGCTCAAATTTATACGCCGCTTCATTCCGATTTCTCTCTCTCTCTCTCTCTCGATAATTCTTGCGATAAAAAATGGCCTTCAATAAAATTCGTCCAAATTTATAGAATTATTGTCTGATCCTTGTTGTTTCATCACTGAGCTTTCTAATTTTGTAAAATCGAACACATCGATTTCCTTTTTCACGAATTTTTTTCATTTATCGAAAAAATGTGAAAATTGAAATCTGTGTCGATCTTTACTTCGATCACTGTCGATAAATCGACGATGTTGAAATCGAAAATTTTAACACCGCTGATAAAGGTAACAACACCACCTTTGATTTTTTTATACTATGTATTTTGATTTTTATTTTAATACAATAGATATGTTCTATTGTGAAATTGATGTTTTTTGCTACATATTTATGTCAAGACAACACCAGATCTATGTTTTCCTTTTAATTTGCTATCTATTTGTGATCGAATTGAAGTATTTTATGTGCGAAACTTGTGTTATTACATATTTTTGTTCCATTTTCAAGTAAAACTACTGATATTTTTGAGTCATAAGTTTTAACATGCTTACAATAATTGGCACTGTTCGAAAATTGCAATCTGTTGGTTAGGACGAATGGTATGTTATCGTTCTGATGAGCATATGTTAACTGTTCATATGCAATAGTCGTTTGGTTGATTCAGATAGTTGCACTAATATGAACTAAGTATATTTGGTTGACACATGCATGAACTGCGATTCTGAAAAACTAATTGAATGAGTGTTGTTATCTGAAAAACCCTACCGTACAGCTGATATGTGTTGTTATCAAGTATAAATTACATTTATATTATATTTTATAATTTCTTGTGTTATTGCTTTGATCGAATTGTAGTTGGAGAAGATCTGCTTATGTTTTGCAATCATTTCCACATGTTACAATATGCTTTGATATGTTCCACCATATGTCTCCTTCACCTACTGAATGTTATCACATCTAAAATAATTTAAAATACAATTTGATCACATTTTATAATTTCATTGTTATCTTATTTTTTTTTCATGAGTATCATCAACAAATCACAAAAACATTCGGAACAACACAAGTCAGAGCCTCAAAGAAGAAGAAGATGCTAGATAGCATTGAGCTGCCACCTTATAAGGTTTGAAATATAAATTATCTAAACAGATTGGTAATTAATGTGATCTGTTTATTAACTTATCTTAATTATATATCCTCACAATATTACTAACATATTTTATTGATTTTGTTTTTCAATAAAACTAAGAAACATAACATCCTACAAGATTATACATAGTACTACAGATTCTACTAAATTATTATAATACTGTATTATATCCTATTTGTAACTACATGTTCTAAAATTTGTTTTTCTTATGTTTTTATTACAGCTGCAAGATAGACATAGCTACGACATTCAATTTAAAGGTACCTAATACATTTTTTTTGTGAGTTACTTGCACACAACACCCACCAAAAGAAAAAGGATATCAACATATTATAATCAATATTACTGAAAGATGTATACAGTTCTAACACATATTTATGTAATCATGCGAGGATGATGCTACTAAACATGAACCTACAATATACGAACAGCAACACAAAAGGTAAAATAGGTAAATCTCTCAACTGAAATCAATAGGTAAGTCTTATATTAATGTGTCAGTACCTTTTTCTTTAGTTTCACAATTATTGACTGCATATGATGAGCTGTTTGTGAGATCATAAATTATTCACTATTGGAATCAATCATCTGATGCTGTTGAATTCCTTGAAAAAAAAAAACAACAAAATAACCAAATATTTTTTTATCAATATAATGGTTTGGATGAAAAATTATATATTCTTAAAAAATCGAAAAGTTTGTAGTTTATAAATCGAAAACAATTAAAAGTATTTACCTTGTTCTTTGATGTGTTCTTTTTTACGCTGTTTGGCTGTGCATGATTTGATTTTATTGGTAGCCGAATGTATTCCACCATGTGTATCCTTCATATCAGTTGGTTATGCTTTGATTCATGCTACTGCTTTTGAAGAAAACAATTGTATGTATCTTTATTTATATTCTCGTGGGGAACATTATAAACAGCGTGCGCAAACAATAAGGAAAAAGATAATGGTAGTCAGATGAGATAAGGAATATATTTATAGGATATATGCTCACAATAGTTTGTTTTGGAAAGGATAAAAACCGAATATGGGATAAGGGAATATTAGTTATTATTAACATAAGATAAGGAATATATTTATAGGAGATATGCTTATGCTTATAATAGTTAATTTGAAAAAAAAAATCAAATCTTGTTTTTGTAAATATGAAAGATATATTGTAGTTTTTAGGATTTGGAAAAAAAATAAAAATAAAAATTGAATCTTATGAGTTGAATAATACTTCACTATTTTTATTTTTGTAATAAATTTGAAGGTATTTTAAACTAAAATATATAGACAATTATAAATATAAATATAATCTATTACAAAAAATAAAAGATTTAAGATTCTAAAAACACACGTATAAAACTTAAAGATGAAATCAACTTTATTAGTAAATCGATTGAAATCTCGAAAACTATATGTTTCCTAGAGACTCAACAGAGAAGCAACATAAAGTTGCAATTATTTCTTCAAGAAAAACAAACTAACCAAACCATCATAAAAAAAACAATCCAAGCAAAATAAACATAATTAAATTGTCTTATTCTTCAAAAACAAAACAGCTAATTATTATTTCCTTCATTGGTGGGGAGTAAGTTCCCATAGTCATCAACTTTCGCCTTGCCCTTCTTGCTCGTCACGGATTCAGCTTGTCCAGCCTCGGGGTCAATAGCAAACTCATCAATCAAATTGCGTTTTGCATTGGATGTGTCACTAACTTGCTCAACAACTCGAATAGTCTTAAGCGGTGAAATAACTTCCTCTTCATCATCGTCCTATTCAAAATAAAGTCAAGTATAAACTTGAAAGAAAATAAACTTAACTTATAAGTAAATGTATTTAATATTTAATTATAAGTATTTATACTAACCTTAGTAGCTTTCTCCCTTTGTAAAAGGGTCATAAAATCCGAGTTCTATAAAGAAAAAGCATAATATCTAATTTTAAAATCATGTATTGTATACGAAAGGAATATACATAAATTGTTAAATCTAATTAAACAAACTTACATCATTCTCTACAACCCAATGGTTGTACTTGGAAACCAAATTTGGATCAAGAATAACCCTCAAGACGGAGAAAGTAGATGAATAGCCCATTTTTTCATTATTTTTTGCTTTGATTCAGACCTTGAAAAGAAAGGTTCTCCCAACCAAGTCCTCTAGATCATCCGGCAGCTCAAAAACAGTTTATTCTACAAAAAAATAGTAATAATAATTATAAGAATTATAAATAAATTTCGAATTAAAGCATATATATATATATATATATTTGTTAATAAAAGTTACCTTTAGCACAGAAATTTCACGTTTTAGAAGCTCACAAGACATTCCAATCATCCTTTCACACTCTCTATCCCAACACATGAAGACATCACTTGTAGTACAATCAGCGACTCCAAATTGAATCTTGTACCTTAAAAAAAAAACGTAAACTATCTATAATAATATGTGAAAAGACAAACATAAAAAATATTGTTCCAACCGTGCAATGCCACGTGTGTTAGTGCACTTGGTGCAATGCATATCACCATCTTCAATATCCATCTTGCTATTGCATCTTTTGCAAGCAAGGTACCACCAATTATTAATAATTGAGTCGATTGAGGCACACACCCAAGTATCCATATCCTTTAAATAAAAACATTAAATTTGTAAGCATAAACAAAATCGGAATGTTATTATACAAAATCGGTATTATAAGTACAAAATCGGAATATTTATATTATACTACCTCTTCCGCCTCATGGATAGAATCAACAGAGCTAACGATGACATCAGCATCCTCAAGTCCTTGAACATCACTCTTGACAACTAAAGAGCTATCCGATCTAAGCTTCACACCTTTGATTTTGCTAGTTGACATCCTACACAAAAGATATTTATTTAAAATATAATATATTAATATATCCGTAACCAAAATGTAAGACATAAATTTAAAAATTATTTACTTATTCAGAAAATCTTGAACTTCGGGAATATCATGAACACCAATCAAATGTGTGACATCCTTTGAAGTTGTTATTTGAACTTCACCTAATGAAGAAAAAAGTAATTGTTAAGCAATACTCATAATTTAAAATTATAATTAAATAAGTGACATGTTTATTTTTGAGAAAAAAAAAATTAAAAATAAATTACCATTCCAAGGCTTTGCACGACACATTTGTATGACCAAGACAAATGGTTGATTGGCTTCCACATAGTAATTCTCGAAAGCAATAAATTGATCCACATACGCTCCCCAAACTGTACATGTCATAGTAAGTCCACTAAAAATAATAAAATTTAATAAATTTAATAAGAATTTAATAAGAAGCTATAAAAATCGAGGGCAACTTTGAACAAAATAAATTGAAACAACTAACCCCAAATCCATAAGACTAAAATTAATCATTTGGGTCGGGCCACTCTTCACATTTTTTATTTGAATTGGATGGGTCTCCACCACCAAGCCAATAACATCTACACAAGATAAATTTTATGAGAATTTATTAATATACATCAATTCATAACTAAAAAACATAATAAATAAGTAGATTCTTACGAATATAAAATTATTTATAGGACTTACCAAACAAAATTACTTCGTCGACGTTGTCTATATCACGCAAAGTGAGAAATTCTCTAAAAGAGAATTGATAGAGTGGAAATGAGGTCTTGAGTTTAAAGAATTCAGTTCCCCTATGAAGAATGATCCGAAATTTGCCAATAGTTGATTTGTAAATGCCTATGTTACTCTCCATTTGATAATGATTGAAGGCATAAGCTTCTCCATCCTTAAGCTCGTCAATGAAATGAGATATGTGAACGGGCCTTATGAGACCGATTATCCTATCACCCTACAAAGGAGTTGTTGACCCCCAACTCTTGCTCTCGTTACTGAGCTCCTTTCCTTGATATCGATATTCCAAGGAGGAACGAATAGGTTTCACAACTCCTCCACCTAAAAGGACGGCCTGAACTCGGAATAGAGATCGGGATTCGAACCCAACTTTAGAAGCGAAGTCACTTAACCGAAAAGAAAAGAGGTATTCATGTCTCAACCTCTCGGTCGGGGAGCAAAGTGAGACTCAAAGAACGAAGCGAAGAAAAAAAAAAAAGAATTACAATAATATACAAAAAAAAAAATAAAAACACGTAAATTAATAATAATAAATTAATAATAATAGACCTTTGTGACAAACCTCATTATCATGGAAAATTAACTCAAGCACTTTTTTGTTTGAATAATTCTCGGAAGTTCTTTGAAACATGCGAATAATACTAAGCTTGAGGAATGGCCTATTAGACCTCTTGATATCCTTGATCAAACTCCATGTTTGAGTCATTTTCTTAATCTCACTAATAAAAAAGAAAAGAGTATGATTTGCTTCGTGTTGCTTGAATGAAAAATAACATGCAATGCATTATTCTTTTATAGTGAAAATTACGTGATTAAAATTGTTAAATAGATAAATACAAATTGTATTGGAGATTTACTTTAATTTCCTAGTGATAATAAGATTTATTTTAGTACAATCTTTTTTAATAGATGCGTGTGTGAGTTATTTTCGTGTGCAATGGTTATGGAATGATTTTGTGAAGATATATACAAATCATTGACAAAACAACGTGACCAACAATTTTTAAGTGATTTAATTTATTAATCTGCTAATGATAATTAAAGTTGTTTGAGATTTATTAATTTCCTAATGACAATCAGACGAAATCTTTTAAATATTTTAGTTGTCAAACTTGTTTGATATTTATTAATTCCAATGATCGGACGGAATATTTCTATGCAAATATTTTAGATATTTTAGTTAGGAAATCGGATTGATTAGACGAAATATGCAAATAATTTAGAGATTTATTTATTTCCTAATCTTCCGATTTGTTTGAGTGCAAATATTATTTAATAAACAGCGTGAGCGTGATTATAGTGTGAAATAATTATAGACTAATCAATATTAAGATATCTTCAAATAATTGACCAAAACATCTAACCAAATCTGTAAGTGATAAAAAAATCGGATTGTACAATTAGATAACTCCAAGTAAATATATTAACATATTTATATATTAACATTGATTAGGATGTTTGTTCCCATCCTCATCTATTAACATATTTATCTCAATATTTAACTCATCTATTGGATATCTAAATTGTTAATCGAAAAAAATTGAAATTTTATAACATGATGAATATTTAAACGAAAATTTTAACAACCAAATTGTTTTCATTGATTTAAATCAGATAAATATTGAGTAGAATTTGATAAGTCATAGTAAATCTATTAACATATTTATCTATTAACATTGATTAGGATGTTTGTTATATAAAATCTATTAACATATTTATCTTAATATTTAACTATTTTGATTGATATCTAAAATGCTAATCGAAAAAAATATGGTATTTTATAACAGTATGAATATTTAAAATAAATTTGTAAAACTGTAACTGTTGTTTTGTATCTCAATATTAATTTTTTTTAATAAATATCTAAATTATTAATTATTAATCTATAAAAAATGTGGTAATTTTAAATTGTATGAATATATATTCTAAATTTGTAAAAAACAAAGTTTTGTTTTGATTTAAATTGGATAAATATTTTTTAGATTGTTAGTTATATCAAATCTTTTTTACATATTTATAAATTGTCGAAAAATTGGTAATGACAATTGACCGCGCGTCGCGACGCGGCAAATTTAAATTTATAAAGTTTCCTCGACTAACCTCTACTAACTAGTAGTAGCGGCGAGTAAGGATCGATCCCACGAGGAGCAGGAACTAAATTGTGATAATTTCGTATTAATTGAACTAAACTAAGAAAGCAATAAAGGTGGGGGGATTGGTTTAATAAAAATAAAAATAAAAATAATAAAATAAAATAAAAATTAAATAAAATGAGAGAAGTCCAGTTTTCGGTTCAGTTATCACCCAATTTAAATCTACTGTTAATTAATTTCCACACCTTCTTTAAATTGCTAATGAATTACCGACCCTAGCTAACAACAAGCTCTGTTAACCGAATTTTCCCTTACCGAATATTTAATCGAAATAAGCTCTTCGACTAAACCTAACTAGTGGACAACCTAGAATAAGCTCTCTAGATTTAGTGCACTAACAGCATTAATTTCTAGGAAAATAGATCAGTGTAAGTAATGGACGCAAAAGCTCGGACCATTTAACTTATGCTCACGCTACCCTAAGGATGCACGACCCCTAGATTACTACTAACGAAACGAGACAATAACAATTACGGATTAAAGTCTCGAATCTAGCAATTAAACTATGAATATTCAACCTAGCTGGTCAAACTAAATCAAACACCATAATTCATAAACGTTATAAACAGATAACATGAATCAATTCATCAACAAAAATAAATACGACGTCTAGATCAATCAACGATAAATTCAAATCCTTAAATTCATAGACAAATTCAAGTTAGGGTTCAAACATCCCCTAAAACTGGATAAAGATCCTAGCCTAGCATACTAATAAAAATAAATAAAGGATAAAAGAGAGAATAACTGGATAAAGATCCTAGCCTAGCATACTAATAAAAATAAATAAAGGATAAAAGAGAGAATAAAATATCTCCCTCGTGTGCAGTGCGGCTTCTCTCCGCATGTTCTTTTCTCTCGGCGGATCTCTCTATCTGTGGCTACTGCTCTTTTTTTCTTCTCCGTTGCGTGTCTCGGCTTTTTTTCACGTCTCTGTCTCGCGTCCGTTCTCTTATTTTCTTCTCTTTTCGTAAATAACTCTCCTCTTGTCAAATAAAATCCTTGTGGCTCACGGCTCTCTTTTCTTTGTACGACTCCAAATAAATAATTAATGCCTTCCGTCAGCAAATAATTGCCCTCATCAAATTAAGTCCTTAATGCTTGTCTTGGGAAATAATTCCCAGCAACTCCTTTCCAAAATCCACTTACTGCGCCCCTTCTCGTTTCTTTGTACGACGCCAATTAATTGGTTGCTATTTGAATTCCCAAGCCATTTGCTCAACATCAAGTTAATACAAATATTGGGCCTAAGTTGTGCAAGACCCAATTTACTAATTCCTTGGCCGATTATGCTCATATTTAGCCATCCATGAATATACTTTAATACTCTGAAAATAAACATAAAAATATTAATGTATATGAATCCATCAAAATAATAAATAGGTCGAAAAATATAAACGTGCGAATAAACTAAGCGTAAAAAAATACACTATTAAATATATAAAACGCGCACATTTTTCGACCTATCAACAATCAATATTTAAGTTTTAATTCATTAATAATAATTAGTTTATTTTTTATTATACCAAAAATTAGTTGATATTTATAGAGGTCATTTTAAAATACAATAACCAATCGAATTGAAAAATAAATTGAATTGAATAATAAAGGAAAACATAATACTCATAATTTTATTATCAAATCCTAGCAATGCCATAGAATAAAATTATTAAACAGCTCGAATTAAAATTTTAATATAACAATTTCATAATTTCCTAAAAAATCCATGCAATAATCTTCATAATCTCGGAACCTTCATTATTGATGGAAAAATCGTCATAATCTCGGAACCCTCATTAGTGATGAGGAAAATTTTCATCGTACGTTAATACATTTGTCTTTGGATGAAGCACAAGCATCCATTTGTGACCGGTTGTATTGATCCTCGTATTATTGAATTCAACATTGTAGTTGTGGATTGCATAAACTTTGCCTTCTTTGAACACATCTCGATATAATTCCATGCTTCGAGAACGGATGATGTCATTTATGCGTGAACCCTACAATAAAAATTTATACAATTAATAAAAATCATTTATATAATTTATAAATATTTATGCGTGAACCATACAATAAAAATTTATACAATTAAATAAACAATTGAAATGCTTACATTTTCGTCATGAAACAGGATTTGCATATTGTTCTTGGACTGCAGCTCGAAATTCGATTCAAGAATGTTGACTACTCTTAATGTCAAATCCGGTTGGTGGCCCTATTAACGTCCCCGAGTGTACCAGAGAATCGTGCCATTTACTTTTTTCTTTTTCTGTGTATCTCGAAATATCTGTGTGTATTTTTTTCTATGCACCTTTGGAGAAGGTGATAAACAAATGTATTTATATAGGTAGGATCTCATTATGTTTTGCGTGTGTTTTTTTATTAAGATTAAGATATCTACAAATAAATGGCATAAAAATCTGACCAAATCTTAAATGATAAATGAATAATATCATCATCATCCCATAATAACGTGAGCATCTCATAATAACGCGAGTATTTAGGCGCTGAAAATCAGTAAAAAGACTTCCAAAATTTTCGAATTGCATGGGCGGGGACATATTCATTTTTCGCCAAAAATTATACTAAACTTTAGGCGGGAATTGAAATTTTTTTTTTTTTTTTTTTGCTGATTTTTTACTTGATTTTTTCAAAAAACTATCATTCCCTCTTTATATATTAATAGATTTATCATAATCATAATATATCGTAAAGACTAAAGAGGGTGGCCAATGATTATGATAAATATGTTTGTTTTTATATTCAAATTGAAAAAANACATGTTTAAAAGTAAAATTTTATCTGCATATTCTCAATAAACAAATATTGAAAAAAAATGTATTAATTTTAATAGTTACATGTTATCATATATTTCATGTTTCTATCTCCATTGTTTATTTGGAGGAGACGATTTTTATTTATTTATTTTTTTAAAAATATAAAACATATTTTGATATATTTCTATATCCAATCCCAGCCTGAGTGTTTTCCTACCACCTTAACTACTAGAATCAATTGAATGTTCCTAAAATCGAATGACATAAAAAATTCGAGGTCACTGCCCAAAAATTAAAATACACTTGAAAGCCCTTCATGGAGTTAAACAAGTACCAGACAAGAAATCAAACAAATTTCTGAAAATTCGATTCACAAAAAATTACCAATAGATATACTAATTATTGATCAATAATAATAGCTCCAACGTTCAATAAATTCTTGAGAAAAACAAAACAATAAGAACATTAACCAGGAACAGCTTATACTGCTAATTTCTGCATGAACAAAAACCAAAACAAACAAACAGGGAAGTATCTAAAGTTTCACAATAACTCGACAAGTAACAGATGTAATAATCCGGAAAGAGAATGGCAGCAACGATTCTGGACCCAGCTTTGACGTAAACAAACAGAACATTGAAAAGTGCCTCTTATTAGAAACATTTCCTGTGCACAATCGACGGGCCCGATTCATCATACTCTGCTTTCGCTATCCACATCTGCACACAATTATCAAGAACTCGTATCAGCAAGTGCATTTTGACGAGTCAGTTACAAACTAAAGGGAAAACTTTACAAAACTCAGCTTAGTTACAAACTAAAGGGAAGACTTTATTCTTGAATCTCGTTTTGTGTTCGAATAAGCCCCCATCACATTTACAATAATGTTACAGTTAAGCTATGTTTGGTAAACCTAGCTGATAAGCTAGCTTATAGCTTTTAAGTAGATTTCGAGCTTATAGCTGATAGATTATTATGACTTCTAGCTGAAATGCTATCTGATAAAAGTCTTCGGTAAGATTAGATAAGCTAGCTGAAATAAAATTTTCAATGTGCTTATTTGAAAAGCTACCTGATGAAGCTTATATAGCTTAAGAGACAAGCTCGAGATTTTTAAAAAAAGCTCGTCCTACCAAGCCAAGCTTATTTGAATACAGGAAGCTTATAAGCAAATAAAATAAACTATAAGCTAGCTTATATGCTTACCAAACACAGCCTTAGCCTCTCAATTACCCTCAATTTTAACATGATATTAAGCCATAGGGGTACTTATTAAGAATTCGAAAGCTAGATAGGGTACTCTTTTTTCATAGCCAGGCCAAACCTCAAGACCATCTGTAATTTGTAAATATCTGTTCTTATAATTCAAAANAAGAGAGACATATGTGATATGTATGTTGATGAAAATATATATCAAGACATGCCTGCTGAAAGGTACTGAGTGATGCCAGGATAGACCCGCCAATCCAGACACTGTACTTCCTCTCTGGCGGGGCCACCACCTTGATTTTCATGCTGCTTGGGGCCAGTGCAGTTATCTCCTTACTCATCCTGTCGGCAATACCCGAGAACATAGTCGAGCCACCACTGAGAACGATGTTTCCATAAAGATCCTTCCTGATGTCGACATCGCACTTCATGATGGAGTTGTAGGTGGTCTCGTGAACCCCTGCAGCCTCCATCCCGATCATCGAGGGCTGGAAGAGGACCTCCGGGCAGCGGAACCTCTCGTTGCCAATGGTGATGACCTGGCCGTCAGGGAGCTCGAAGTTCTTCTCGACAGACGAGCTGGTCTTGGAGAGCTCCATCTCCTGCTCGAAGTCGAGGGCAATGTAGGCGAGCTTCTCCTTCATGTCGCGCACGATTTCCTTCTCGGCAGAGGTCGTGAAGGAGTAGCCGCGCTCGGTGAGGATCTTGGCCAGATGGTCCGTGAGGTCGCGGCCCGCAAGGTCAAGACGGAGGATGGCGTGTGGGAGTGAGTAGCCCTCGTAGATCGGGACCGTGTGGCTCACACCATCACCCGAGTCCATCACAATACCTGCATGAGAAGAACCCAATGACCGATAAAATTTCATAAATGTGTAACAGTGTAAGTATTTTTCATCAAAACCCTTGTTATTTGCTAACAATCCACTATTGGTAACAGTTTGTTAGTCTTACAAGGAGTCTGCATGAAAGAGCATGTATGAAAAATACAGCAAATTGAAGCAAGTCCACAATCCGAGTCATCCCCTTTATTTCAATAATCAACATTGCTTTGATTTCGTCTAATTCAAAGTTTATGGATTCATGTAGCACACTCAGTTCTATATTCAAATGGTTCGTGTGTAAGTTCCCAATGACCCGTAAATTTCAACATGGGAGAGAGAAACGTCAAATTCCATGCCCTCCATCTATAATATAGCAAGTCTTTGGTGATTAACTAACATTAAAAATAGCCAAGGCCAATGGCGCTGAGGATCCAGTACAACTTCTAGGTTACTGTTTTATAGATTAAACTCTCTTATGATGTAAAAGAATTGACACATACAAGAGCAGAGAGTTATGCACAAAAGAAATAACACGTTAACTCAGGTCGTATAGATGTGTAAGTATTTTTCATCATAACACTTGTTATTTGCTAACAACCCACTATTGATAACAATTTGTTAGTCTTCCAAGGAGTCTGCATGAAAGAGCGTATACTTTCATACTGCAAATAGAAGCAAGTCCATAATCTGAGTCATCCCCTTTCATTAAATAGCCAACATTGCTTTGACTTCTAAATCACATATTCTGTATTCTTGTAGCACATTCAGTTCTATATTAAAACGGGAATCGAATTGACTCACCAGTTGTACGACCACTGGCGTACAGGGAGAGAACAGCCTGGATAGCTACATACATGGCAGGGGAATTGAAGGTCTCGAACATGATCTGAGTCATCTTCTCCCGATTTGCCTTCGGGTTAAGGGGTGCCTCGGTGAGAAGGATTGGGTGCTCCTCTGGGGCCACACGGAGTTCATTGTAGAACGTGTGGTGCCAAATCTTCTCCATGTCATCCCAGTTATTGACGATGCCATGCTCGATAGGGTACTTCAGAGACAAGATACCACGCTTGGACTGGGCCTCGTCCCCAACATATGCGTCTTTCTGGCCCATTCCAACCATCACACCAGTGTGACGCGGGCGGCCAATGATGCTAGGGAACACGGCCCTCGGCGCATCATCTCCAGCAAATCCAGCCTGGGAAATTACGAGTTTAGCCAACAAGTATGAACAAATCACGATGTAAAAAGTAACATAGAAAAACTAAATAGGGAGCATGATATTTAAAACAGCTAGCTGATGGCTATTAACCTTGACCATTCCTGTTCCATTGTCACACACGAGCGGTTGAATATCCTCAGCGTCAGCCATTTATTCTCTTGTCCTGCCAACCAAACACAAGCAACACAGCCCACAAGATTTATAAACAATCAATGGAATCACGAATCCGATTTTCCCCAACAACAACAGAAAGGTTATCCAACAGCTTCATAAAAAAAAAAATAAAAAATTCGTTTCACTCACATATACACCTCCAAATATATCTAAATCTAAAACAATCCAATTTCTATTCATTTCATTTAGAATTAATTGCCAAGGATAAGGAATCAGGCCCAAATTCAGATGTAACAAAATAACATATGATAAAACATGGAGATCCAATCGCGGACTTCGTTTCATCATACATATACACCTCCAAAGATATCTAAATCTATGATAAAAGAATCCATTTTCTATTCGTTTCATGTAGAATTAATTGCTAGGCATATGGAATCAGGCCCAAATTTCAGACGTAACAGATGATAAAACATGGAAATCCAACCGCCGGCTTCGTTTCGTCATAGATATACACCTCCAAACGTAACAATCCATTTTCTAATCGAGTCGTCTGGAATTAATTGCCAAGCATAAGGCTCAGGCTCAAAATCAGATGTAACAAATGATCAAACATAGAAATCCAATTGTCAATTCTATAAACTAATACATGATTGCTTGAGATGGAGATCAAATCATGAACATAGACCACAAACATAACACGCATAATCATACTCAACCTAGGGATCAGCAAGTTCGTACGATCTTGTCCAAGATCTAACACATGCAAAAGAAAAAGCAGACCATCAGACGAATGTCCGATTCTGTGAAGACAAACAAATCGATCATCAAAACAAAAATTCACCAACATCATATTCATGAAAAAATTTCGTCACCTTACACCTTCGATTTCCAATGGAGAACGACGAGATGCTCTCTCCTTAAACTTCCCTCGGCTAAAGCGCCTCTCACGAGCAAATGATGAAGGATCGTAACTGAAAAATGGAGATGAAAAGGACGAGATTCGCCATTAAATGCACCTCAAATTCTGGCTCTGAGGCTCCCCGATTGACTCGCGCTTTGCAGTGTGCAGAATGTTTTGCGGGCACCGAATTTCACACGTTGCCCCCTGAGCTGTAAGGTTGGTATCGTTTTGGCCCCCTAATATTGTGGAAAATTGTGTGCATGTCCCCCGCAACAAAGAAAACGTATGTTTCTGTTTTTGTCAAATTGACCTCTACTTTTGTACGTAATTCAATACTGTAACAAATGGGATAAAGAATAATTATATGTGTTACTAATAAATACAGTATTTAATGTTTCATTCATTTTTATTTGAAAGTTTTACTTAAATCACGGTAATCACTTTAGTGGCCCAAGAAAATTTTTGTGCCCAAATGAAGATGCAATGGGCCAGAAAACAGTTACTCCAATGTGTGTTGATGAACTACGCTAAACCCAAAGCTAGCCCAACATTTTATGAGAAAATATCTCCCCCCACTATTCATTTCCTAGTTATTTTTAATTATATGAATGCAATTACTTATATTCATGATTACGAGTTTTTTAAATAAAATAAGTAAGTTTGTAGTCAGCGGTTTTGAATTTGGAAGAAACAACTACCAAATATATAATTAATGGGGTTAATTTTTAGCATAATCTTCGAGAATCGTGCTCATCCCATATGGAAATGTTAAACGGGCTAGTCCCTAGCAGTTTCGGGCTAGACCTAGCGGGCTTCGGACTAAACGGTCCGAGCCTAAAAAGCCCAGATTTAAACGGGCTACCAATAAAAGGATTTAACCCTAAACCTAGTGGGCTTCGGGCTAAACGGACTATACGGGCTATAATTAATAATAATAATAATAACAATAATAATAATAATAAAATAAAATAAAATTACAACACCTAGTTAACGGTTTTTGCAACGGCTACTTAGTATTTACCACTATATATACAACTACACTTCATATATGAACACACATTACAAACTCTTAAATAACATATTGTTTCTCAATAGAAAAAAAAAATGTTCGAAACTATTACTTTTAACTACCATTTGACTAGTTATTTGGTACGCTTCGAGAAATTTCACCATATAGCATATGCTGAATTTATATATTTTATCACTATATTCTATGTGTTAGGTCTTTGTCTCATTTACTTTTTATTAGCCGTTCTGATTGGCTTAAGTATTTTGTTGTGAAATAGAACAAAAATTGTTAATAATTATCTATCAAAATAATAATAATACATTATAACTCATAATTATATATGAAGTAGAATAGCAAAATTGTAATATACAAGGAATCATGAGACATATTCCTTACCTTTAAAAAAACATATACACCACCCAACTCAAGTTAAACGAGCTAGCCCGAACGGTTTTCGGACTAGCCTAAAAAGCCCGGATTTAAACGGGCTGCCAATAAAAGGCCCTAACCCTATTTTTTTTCTGGGCTAAACAAGCCGGCCCGTCGGGCCAAGGACCATTTAACATTTCTATGCANTTTCTTTCTATCACCAAAACATCGACAACTCTGTATCTTCAACACAACTGAGAGGAAAATCCAAAAATATCACCATAACCACACACAAATCCCATTTTTTCTACACAGTTCGGCCATGGCCAAGCGAAGAAAAAACGATACCAAGTCGGTCAATAGTGAAGACGAAGCTAGATTAACTCGGTCCCGATCTCGTCTAACAACTCAATTCAAGCACCCGAGCATAAAGTCGTCCAAAAGAAACTTCAGTTTCAGAAGAAGACAATTTTGTGTCTGAACCCCAAAATCAAACATAAAAAAAAAGAAAAAAAAAATGTCGGACGATAAGAAGAAGACGAGTGTTAGAGACAACAACGGTAAAACAAAGATGTTTGATTCTCCAAATAATCAACAAGAGTCCGATTTAGATTTCACGTGGTTTTGAAAACCGAACCGGTCGTCGAACCGGTGAAGCTACTGGTTCAATGATTCACTGGTCGGACTAGTGGTCGAACCGGTTTAATTAATATATATTTTTTATTTATTTTATATGTATAATATATAATTATATATATTTTTATCATTAATTTTATAGTGTATAACTTTTCTCTAAATAATAGCTCAATAATAGATATAAGCCACAATGTTGAATAATGTGGACAATTTTTTTAAAAAAAAATTAATATTTTAAATTTTAGTCTATATTTAAGTTACAAAATAGATAGAATAGAAACAACCCTATTTTCATTATAAATCAAATTTTAAATTTTTATTATTGATTAATAAATAAAAAATAAAAATAATGTGCATAACAAACAACAATAAATTTCTTCTTTCTTTTGCAATAAAATTGGTAATAATAGATATAGTCAATATATAGTCCAATGTAAAAAATAGTACTTTTTTTTATGATTACAATCGTTCTTGTAAGACTCAATATTGGCCCAATAATTTTAGTAAGAGAACATATCCCACATTGGAAGCACGAGTGAAAAAAATGTGTGACATTTAAATCATTTTGTAATCAACCAATTTCAAATTCATAAGCTTGAACCGTTGAACCATTTGAACTGGTCTTGGTTCACCGGTTCAACCGGTTCGAACGGTTCATGAGCGGTTCCCATGCTTGGCGGTTTGATGTAGCAAACTGGATCAGAATGAAGGTCGGTTCCCGGTCCAAGCGGTTGAGCCGGCCGGTCCGGTCTGGTGTTGAGAACCATGATTTTTAGTTTAGGGATCGGCCCGTGTGTTGGGGCGTAGGGCAGTAGTAGTGGGCCCGCGAGGAGTAGGGAGGTTTTATTCTAATTTTAGTGTGTT